GGATAAAGCCCTTTAAACAGGGTACACGTGAACTGCTCCACAATAGTTGAACTGGCATACACCTGTCCTTGAGAAATATTAAAATCTTGATACACTTACTTTTTTGTCTGAAGTTTGTGTATAACACATTATGTAAGTAAGTGCAACACTTCAGCTCAACTAAGAATCCGAAATGAGTGGAATTGTTTCAACTTAGCGTACATACACGTCATAATTATGATTAATTTAAGTCTATTACAAGAAATAAAATCATAAGAGCGGATAATTAACACTTAAAAAATAAGCGATAAATACGAAGATTTTCAAGATACTACGAATAGATTTTGTTCCCACTATTTACTTGATACAAAATCTATTCGTAGTATCTTGAAAATCTTCGTATTTATCGCTTATTTTTCAAGTGTTAGGCGATAAATACGAAGATTTTCTTCGCTATTTACTTGATAAACTCCGCCAGTAGAACCTTAGGGGCTACTGCCGGTCCCAAGCCCGGGTAAAGGAGGAGGGTTGGACATGGGGTTGGCGACCCCATTCCGTCAAAAACTAACTTGCCAAAAAACGCTAACCAGAAAAAATAATTCAAACCATTTTAACTCTGCCCTGGGAGTTGGAGGAAGGATTATGACGTCGCGTGATGAAAGCCGAGTTCCCTCGGAAGTCACGGGGCTGATGCCTCTTCTGACAACCAGAGCAACCATTTTTTTAGGTACATGGAACGTTCGTACATTGTGGGAGACTGGAAGACTATTTCAAGTTGCGGCAGAAATGAAAAGATACAACCTCGAGGTGCTTGGAATCAGTGAAACACATTGGACACAAGTAGGACAACTGAGACTTGCTTCAGGGGAACTGCTGTTATACTCTGGTCATGAAGAGGAAAATGCTTCACATACACAAGGAGTTGCATTGATGCTGTCCAAACATGCACAAAAGGCACTAATAGGATGGGAATCTCATGGACCCAGGATCATTAAAGCATCCTTCAAAGCAAAGAAACAGGACATTACAATGAACGTCATCCAATGTTATGCACCTACCAACGACTACAATGACGACGACAAAGATCAATTCTACGAAAGGCTGCAGTCAATCGTCGATAAATGTTCACCAAAGGATTTGACGATTCTTATGGGAGACCTGAATGCCAAGGTTGGAATGGACAACACTGGATATGAAGACATCATGGGACGACATGGACTGGGAGAAAGAAACGAAAACGGTGAGAGATTTGCAAACCTATGTGCCTTCAACAAACTGGTCATCGGTGGCACAATATTCCCGCACAAACGCATACACAAAGCTACATGGATTTCACCGGATCACACTACTCAGAACCAAATCGACCATATCTGTATCAACAAAACGTTCAGAAGGACTATGGAGGATGTGAGAACCAGGAGAGGAGCTGATGTAGCCTCAGATCACCATTTGATAATCGCCAAAATGAAACTGAAACTAAAGAAGCACTGGACAACGGGACAGACAACATCACACAAGTTTAATACGGCCTCTCTTCGGGATACTGTAAAGCTCAACGAATTCAGGATAGCCCTCACCAATAGGTTCCAGGCCTTTCAGGATCTACACAATGGAGAGGACACAACATTGGAGAACAATTGGAAAGGGATTAAGGAGGCAATCACTTCAACATGTCAGGAGGTCCTTGGTCGCAAGAAGCAGCATCACAAGGAATGGATCTCTGTTGATACTCTCGCAAAAATTGAAGAAAGGAGGAACAAGAAAGCAGCAATCAATGTCAGCCGAACAAGAGCGGAGAAAGTTACCGCACAAGCTGCATACACAGAAGCAAACAGGGAAGTGAAGAAGAGCATCAGAGCTGACAAACGAAAATACGTGGAAGATCTAGCAATGACGGCAGAAAAGGCTGCAAGAGACGGAAGCTTGAGACAATTGTATGAAACTACAAAGAAGCTCGCCGGGAACTATCGTAAACCAGAACGACCAGTGAAAAACAAGGAAGGCAAAGTAATCAGCAACACTGAACAACAGCGAAATAGGTGGGTAGAGCACTTTAAGGAACTCCTAAATCGACCAGCTCCTCTGAAGACACCCAACATCGAAGCAGCATCCACGGACCTCCCAATTAATATTGGCGCACCTACGATTGAGGAGATCAGTATGGCCATCAGACAAATCAAGAACGGCAAAGCAGCAGGACCAGACAACATTCCAGCAGAGGCAATGAAAGCAGATGTAGAAGCAACTGCGAAAATATTTCACATTCTCTTCAAGAAGATTTGGGATGAGGAACAAGTACCATCAGACTGGAAGGAAGGATACCTCATCAAAATACCAAAGAAAGGCGATCTCAGCAAGTGTGAGAACTACAGAGGCATCACTCTTCTTTCAATACCAGGCAAAGTCTTCAACAGGGTATTGTTAAACAGAATGAAGGACTTCGTAGACGCCCAACTTCGAGATCAACAGGCCGGATTTCGGAAGGATCGATCGTGTACTGACCAAATTGCTACATTACGGATCATTGTGGAACAATCAATTGAATGGAACTCACCACTCTACATCAACTTCATCGACTACGAGAAAGCATTCGATAGCGTGGACAGGAAAACACTGTGGACTCTTCTTCGACACTACGGGGTGCCTGCGAAAATAGTTAACATCATACGGAACTCTTATGATGGATTCAACTGCAAAATCGTGCACGGAGGACAGCTAACCGACTCTTTCGAGGTGAAGACCGGTGTCAGGCAAGGTTGCTTACTCTCACCCTTTCTCTTTCTCCTGGTGATCGACTGGATTATGAAAACGTCAACATCTGGAGGGAAGCACGGTATCAACTGGACAGTTAGGACGCAGCTGGACGATCTGGACTTCGCAGATGATCTGGCTCTTCTATCGCACACTCAACAACAAATGCAAGAGAAGACGACCAGTGTAGCAGCAGCCTCTGCAGCAGTAGGTCTCAACATACATAAAGGAAAGAGCGAAATTCTCCGATGCAACACAACATGCACCAATCAAATCACTCTTGATGGAGATGCCTTGGAGGACGTTAACACCTTTACATATCTGGGCAGCATCATCGACAATCAAGGTGGATCCGATGCAGATGTGAGGGCACGGATTGGCAAAGCAAGGGCTGCATTTCTACAGTTGAAAAATATCTGGAACTCCAAACAGATATCAATCAACACCAAAATAAGGATTTTCAATACAAATGTGAAGACAGTTCTACTGTATGGAGCGGAAACATGGAGAACTACCAAAGCCATCATCCAGAGGATACAAGTGTTTATCAACAGCTGTCTACGTAAAATACTTCGTATTCGTTGGCCAGACACGATCAGCAACAACGAACTGTGGGAGAGAACAAGTTAGATTCCAGTGGAGGAGGAAATCAGGAAGAAGCGGTGGAAGTGGATAGGACACACTCTACGAAAAGCACCTAACTGCGTCACGAGACAAGCCCTCACATGGAACCCTCAAGGCAAAAGGAAAAGAGGAAGGCCAAAGAATACATTACGCCGTGAAATAGAGAAAGATATGAGAGGAATGAACAAACATTGGACAGAACTGGAGAGGGAAGCCCAGGACAGAGTTGGTTGGAGAAAACTGGTGGGCGGCCTATGCTCCATTCGGGGTAACAGGCGAAAGTAAAGTAAGTAAAGATTTACTTGATAATATATTATAATTTCTTATCAACAGTATAGTTGATGGGTCATTACCACTGGACATCTAATTATAATTTATCAACATATAAAATGCCAAAATAAGTTTGTTATGAGGATAAATTTTATCGATAATTTCATCACAACTATTAGGGATACCGATTTCACATACCCAGTTGCCAACAGAAAGTGGGAGTGGTCAGATAGCGATTGATACATGAATAACTCAAGTTGGGTGGAAATTCACCAACTAACCAAAGAGTATATAGCAATCTAATTATGAAGACATATGATATGTCCACTTGCTTAACCTCTTCTGTTTATTTCAGGGACTATATGTTTCTAAACTTTTGGGTCAGTTTATTTCTCAACTTAGATAAACAATCCGGACTTTGATTTAAATAGGTTAAACACTTAAATTGTTTTAGAAACTCTACAATTTGCAAGACTCTAAAACGACTTAGGAAAGATAAAATGAATTAACAGGAACAAAAATCATCACCCTGAAGAACACTATCAAACTGGAAATCTCCATCTGATTAACTAAGAACCATCTTTTGGATAGAAGTTTTCATTAACCAAAATGAATTGGCGAAAACAACATACTACTTTTAGTATAGGCGAGTTCCAGTTCAAGTAGAATCAGGATATTGAATTGAAAAGATAATCACAAAGAAAGAAGATAGAAGACAAGTGTAAATAACGAACTAAAGACGTAAGTTTAACGAATCAGTGTTTGTCTAGAAATTACTTATTAATTTGCATCGAATAGAATACGTAGCATGCATTAATCTATTAACACAACGCCATTTCATTGTTTAATCTATTCTTAGTGCAAAGAAAATACCCATCCTTAAATATCAACAATCTACTACTAAATTATTGGAAAGCAACTGTAATTTCTGATAATATTATCCTGGTGGAAATCACAAAACTAGAAGTGAATATAATTAACTACGTTTTATAGAGATTTACCATATTTGACCTTTCTCTAAACAACCTGAAGACGATTTTCCACGAATAAAATGAATTATACTTAATAAGACTGAAACTTCTTACAGTATATTATTATTTCTTTGTGTCAGGTTTTTTCATACTTTCGAAAAGATAAATCGTTTACTAACAATAGCAATACATTCTATATCAATGATATAAAGATATCAACTGTATTACAAGATCAGTATGTGTTTCAGAGATGTTTTTGAATAAGAGGAAAGACTATAAATATTTATTTGGTAGGTACAAAACAACGTCATTATACGAAAAGTTGATAAAGTGTAGCAAGTCAATCATAATAAATTTGAAGAAAGACCAGAGTAGTGAATAGAGTTATACAAAAATACTATATAATCATTCCATCGTCGGTTCACTTTTCATGCGTAGTTTAATTAAATGTTTTATTTGTTGAGAAGAAGCCTCTAGTTTTGAACGCCGACTAGCAAGTTCCAAGGACAAATTGACAGCACGTCGGAAACAAGATTGCGCACGGCGTAAACTAGCAGGAACAAGTACTCCGGAAAACCATCGAATTGGATCTACTGAAGGATTTGGATCAAGCTTACTGCCTGCTAATTCATCAATTAGTTGAAAACGAACGGCTTTGAAATCCTTATCATAAGTAGGCTCAATAGGCTGGAAAAAAAAGGGAAAAATGTAAAAATATAACACATGAAATACATATCATGTTTGGTTGTATGAGATGTTTTAGAAATGATTTGATTAGGTTCCAAAACTTTATTCCTAAAATCAAATTATCAAACCAAACCTAACTCAAAAAGCTTTGAAAGCAAACAGAATATAATCATTCTTAATAGTAAAAGAAATAAACATTTCAGTTTATGTCCTATTATGTTTGATTAAAACTCGGTGATGATAAAATCAAGTATGACTTGTTCGGTTACATGTTAATAGTTGCGTTACATTTCACTGTGTTTATCAATCTGTGTGTGAATCAATGTATTCCCGACCGAAGCTGCGGCCTTGACGTGGTGGTCGGGCTTGCCTATCGTGATGACCCAACCGAGCTATACTGGCTGGAACATATGTTCCTGCAGGTCCTACCATGCCAGGCTGGTCGATTGGAGAACGATGAGACTAAAAGCAGCTACTCAAGGTCTGAGGGCGAAGTCGTACTGCTGACTGCAGAGGGGTGTGACAGCACCTACACTAATCCTTCTTCCTTTTCAGGTCCCTCAAGAAACAACCTTCCACGGTGTGGGCAGCCGGGAAGTGACAACCGCCCTCATACCCGTAACAGCACGCGAGACCAAATTGGTCAAAATCAAATCCTTCCTACACCCCCTAATGTCTCTCTTATCTCTACGACTAACTCTACTCACACTCCCTTTTCTCACTGCACCGCTAATGCAGACGAAGCGAGATCACGAAACGTCGTTCCTGGTCTCTTGAAACCCCGTTCTAGACTACATGTTGGAGCTTTTAATGTACGGACATTGTGTCAAATAGGGCAACAGGCATCATTAGCTAGGACTTTAGAAACTCGTGCCATCGATGTATGCACGCGCATACAGGATCCTCCTAGTAAAGTCATTAACCTGATTCCACCTTGTCAAAACGAAGAAGCAGCTCGATTTACTCTTCGTGTATCCGGTAGCCCTGATGCTGCTTCCCGGGGTCTTGCTGGCGTAGGCATAGCGTTGAGTCCTAGGGCAGAATTATCTCTCCTAGACTGGATCCCCGTAGATAGTCGTTTGTGCGCTGTCCGACTAAACGGGACAGTAAGGACTCGGAAGGATAGGGACACTCGCCGTTGCCTCTTCGTCATATCTGCCTATGGCCCCACTGACTGCAGTGCAGACGAGGTTAAAGATGAGTTTTACAGAAAGCTTTCGGACCTCCTCCAAAAAGCTAGGCGCTCTGATATAGTAATAATGGCTGGTGACTTTAATGCTCAAGTAGGTAGACTAGGTGAAAATGAAAGACATCTTGGTGGATGTTATGGTGTAGCGACTGAGAGAACAGACAATGGCGACCGTCTGTTGCAACTATGCTCAGATAACCGCCTATTCTAAGCGAACACCAGCTTTAGGCATAAGGTAAAGCATCTGTTGACCTGGCGACCCCCGAAGTCGTCTCAACGTTGGACTCAACTAGATCACATCGCCATCAGCCACCGATGGAGGTGTTCGACAGAAGACTGCCGCTCGTTGTGGGGCACATGTTTGGATTCAGATCATGCTCTAGTGCGAGCTCGTATCTGCTTAAGGCTTACTGGACGTAGGAAAGACACCGTAAGGAAGCCTCTTAGGGTTTTACTTAATGATAATCAAACCAAGAAAATATTTCAGGAGCAACTAGAAAGAGAGTTAAGCAACCATGCAAGCGATTCCCATCCAGAAGCAGGTTGGTACGATATCAAAAAGGCTGTGGAAACAGCAGTGATATCTGCTAGTAAGGTAAACCATAAAGCTAGAATGAAGCCGTGGATATCAGTCGCATCCACCGAACTGATGGAAGCTCGAAAACGCATCCCACCTGACTCTGAGCATGATGAAGAGCGTAGTCAGCTTAGGCGCAGACTTATAAAAAGTCTGCGTAACGACCGCGAACAGTGGTGGGTGCAGAAAGCAAAAGCGATGGAAAAGGCAGCGGCGATAGGCAACACTAGACAACTTTTCCGCCTTATCAAAGAAACCGGTATTAAGAACCCGAATGTGAGTGAGACTATCTCGGAAAAGGATGGTCTTATTATCCATTCTCAATCTAGGAGGCTGGATCGATGGGCAGAACACTTTAGGGATCAGTTCAACTGGCCACGAGCCACTCTTCGGTTACCCATGATCTCCAGTCATCCTGAATGGCAAATCGACCTAAGTCCCCCTAGTCTTAATGACGTTGAGAAAGCGTTAGGAAATCTGAAGCGAGGGCGAGCTGCAGGTCCTGATAGACTGACCCCTGAGATATTTAAGGATGGTGGTCCAGTTTTAGCAGCTAGGTGGACTGAGATCTTAGGTAGAATCTGGGAACTGGACGCAATCCCATCCGACTGGTCTCAATCACTGATTGTCCCAATCTACAAGAAAGGACAAAAGTCTTCTTGTGACAATCACAGGGGAATAAGTCTAACTAATATAGTTTCTAAAATATTGGCCTCAGTAATACTTCGACGCTTAACGAAAGCTCGTGAAGAGCAGACTCGAGAAAACCAGTCTGGTTTTCGACCTGGACGTGGCTGTATAGACCACATCTTCACACTCAGACAGGTCCTGGAACATAGACACACATTAAGGCGTCCTACAATAGCTGTTTTCCTAGACCTTAAGGCGGCATTTGACTCTGTTGATCGTAAGGTTCTGTGGCAGTGTCTGTCATTGAAAGGTGTACCAAAGAAGTACATTAACCTCATACAAGCTCTTTACTCGAACACCACTGGTCGAGTGAGGGCTTATGGCGAACTGTCACCAGAATTCTCTACTTCAAGTGGTGTCCGTCAAGGATGTCCACTTTCTCCATTCTTGTTTAATTTTATCATAGACATGCTCCTAGACATAACATTATCCTTGTCTGAATTTTCAGGAGTAGACCTTCTACCAGGTGGCTCGCTTATTGACTTAGAATATGCCGATGACATAGTCCTACTTGGTGAAGACGCTGACAAAATGCAGAGTCTTCTGACTACCCTAAGCAACAATGCAAGCATGTTCGGGATGCGGTTTTCCCCCTCGAAATGCAAAATGTTGCTTGAAGATTGGGTTGCATTGGCACCTGAACTAGTGATAGGGAGTGAAGTAGTCGAACGTGTAGACCGCTTCACTTATCTTGGGAGTCTCATCAGTGCCGATGGCCTGGTGACTGACGAAATCTCAGCACGGATACAGAAGGCTCGATTGGCTTTTGTCAACCTGCGTCCATTATGGCGTAGGCGAGATATCCGTTTGCTGACTAAAGGACGAGTGTACTGCGCAGTGGTTCGCTCCGTCTTACTTTATGGCTGTGAAACATGGCCAGTGAGAGTAGAAGATATTCGTAGGTTTCTGGTTTTCGATCATAGGTGTCTTCGAAGCATTGCTGGTATATCGTGGGACACCCGAGTGAGCAACGCTGTTATTAGGATTCGGGTGCTAGGTAAGAATGGCAGATCAATCGATGAAGTATTGAAACTTGACCAGTTGAGGTGGTTGGGACATGTGTTGCGTATGCCCAACCACCGACTGCCTCGTCGAGCCTTGTTTTGTAATGTAGGAATAGGTTGGAAGAAAGCTAGGGGCGGCCAAACCAAAACATGGCAGAAATCCATGAAGTCATTGACTAGTGGACTGAGCCATGTCGGTAATTGTCGACTACCTGGTTGGGGTCCACGAAATGATAATAATCGATGGTTAGAGACCTTGAATGACATGGCTCAAAATCGTTCGCAATGGCGCCGGTGCATTTATTCTTTGTGTTCTCTCAAATCCTAATCTTCTGGATTCTTCAACCCCTCTAGTTTCGACTCTCTAAACTTTTCTCACTGAATCATACTTCTTGAATAATATCTTCTAATCCTAACCTCTCCGATTACTTCTAATACCCTTACTACCTCTTCTACTATTGGATTTGAATTGACGATTACTTCTCTGTGCTGATGTGGTATGGCGACATGAACTGATGTACTTATGTACAAAGTTCTACGTTGCATCTGACTGACTGACTGACTGAATCAATGTATTACAAGAAATAACATAAAATTACAGGTGGTTAATATGTAACAGACGCGTTGCAAAATAGTTCTAACGATTTAATAAATGGTTAAGATAGGCTACGGGATTTATCCCAACTAAGGTTTGGTCAAGTTATATATGAGTAGTTTGAGAGGAATGATAAAATTTGTTAAGGGCTTGTCTACATGAAAATGTGAACATGGTAATATTCGTTTTAGTATAATATCGAAAGTACTATAGTGATTTTCTTACTATCCCTATTGCTTTTGTGTTCCATTTATAAAAATTTGATGTTTGATTAGATTACTAGAAATGCACTGAGTTAATTTAGTACTTAGTTCCGAAAAACTATCTTTCCATTACACTATTATTAGCAGTTTCAAAGATATTACTTTAATACATTTAAAGTAGTTGCAATAGATATATTGTTTATGTGGTATGTATTGGACAAATGATTTCAGTTTTTTAAAACTCTCTATTTTTTGTATTAGAAGATAATTAATTAATCTCCTTCAGCTAGCCATTAAGTCTCGAGATTAAACTTCATTCTATCTACTTAGAATTGTGTCACCAAATAGTCTTTACAGAATAAATGGTTTACAACCTTGGAACATATCCGCGCACACTATGGTTAATTTGCACAATTTTACTTCTTAGGCTAAGTTTATGTCAATAACTACTAAAATTCATAACACAATGGCTTTATGATATTTGATGTATGGTATCTTATTACTAAGTATGATGAATGTACACCTTTATGTAGTTAAATCCAGGTTTTTAGTACAATTTTGTACAACGAACAATTCTCATGGCATTTAAGTACTACTGAATATATAAGAAGAAATTTTAATAATGATGAACTACAGAGTAAAATACACATAAAGTAAGCAATGAACTATCATACGAAGAATGAGTACATGATGTACAGTAAACACATTTACATCAATAAGATCAGTCATAATATCTAATCGCTTTAACACAAATATCAAGGTCCAATCAATGGAAAAATATTCGAACAAAAGGAATTCAATTTAATAAATCTCAAAAATATAAATTTAACGATAAATGTCAGGGACAAGTGACAAAGCTCAAAGTTAAGTAAACTATGTATCAATCAAAAGACCAATCAATAAAAATAAAATATAAACATTTTTTTACTATCTGATCATAGAGAAGTAAATTTTAAGTATACTGATGTACAGACTTGATTTCCTAGTAGAACTGTATTGAAGTTGACAGATAAACAGATATCATAAGCTCTGTTCACAGAAAGTCAAGTTCAGATCGACACAATAAAAAATTATTAACAGGATATGGGGCAAATTATTTCGATAGTTGCATAATTAGTAAATTCTTGCAGTAAGACTGCACTCTACAGGTTGATACATAAAACTGAGTGGAATTAAAAAATTCCACACAGCAATAGTTATATATTTGCATTATTCTAAACTTCATGAGGTGGGAAAGTAACGCGAAAACATGGAACTCATGTTAAATTCCCAAAACACTTACGGAAAAGCCAATAAATCACATCAATAATTTATAGACACAAAGGTAATATGAACTGAAACAATGAACAGAAATAGAAAAAATAACTGGTCAAATTAAATCGTTTAATTTAATAAAACATAGGCAGACTTGAGAGTGAATAAAAACATAACCCTTTGTTCGTCTATAATAATAATAACCTAAAGAAAAATTCAGTGAATATACAAACGACTCAATCAAACAATGGTAAGTACCATGAATTACAAGTTATGATTTACAAGATATCAAAAACTTCTAATGCTACTGAAAAGTTGTAATACATTGAATACATTCTTTGGAAAACATTAATGAATCATTAAAATCGAAATTAATTTCCGGTAGAAGACAGAAAACAAGATCTAAAACCGTAGTATGGTATAAACTTAGGATTCATTAGCTTTCAATGAAGATATTATGACAAAACGGAACTTCATTTTAAACTATTTACATTTAAAAATATATACCTCAAGTGAATGGCCATTCATTGCTCAACATGTATTCCCTGAGGTTCTGATAAGAACCCTGAAATATCAGTTTAATCTATTGCGGACTGAAAACAGGGACTGCGTGGTCGCATTATAAGGTGATCTGACCACAGTTACTATTGAACAGCAACCTTCGAGACATCGATGTCCATCTCTAAACTCGGAACAAGACTAAGAAGAGATGCTTATGGATCTCAAACACACATATGTTTACTACTTTATGATTCCCCAGTTTTTAATGACGCCAGATCTGACTCTGTTTTGTACGAGTAATTGAATATTCTAAGAAAATAGATATTCCTTTTAATTCCATATATTCCAATTAAGCTAACCCCGTTTGCGCGATGGCGGTAATAAGAAGCCATATACGGATTGAGTTGGATAAGTTTACTCCATGTAATCGTTTACGCGGAAGAGCAAAGCGAAACGAAGCGAAGTGACGTTGAGAAGGCGAGTGAGTCAACTCGATGTCATAAACTATAACTGAGTATTTATGATCAGACAAAACTAAGCTAAACATGTGATAAGCAAAGTAAGTCATGCACACAGAACAAAAACACCCAAGATTGTAAGCGAACAATTGACAAGATCAAAATACATGTGGATATTGACTCGAGGAGTATGGATTAATTTGTGTTCAAATGCTAGGACACAAGTCATGTGAGCTTGACATATTACTACCCACTACTATTTCTCATGCACAAACGGCTATTTAGTCGGTCAAATATAGGATTCGTCGACAATATAACAAAAATTCAAATAATTACGAATATTAACTATCAAGTTAAACCGAAAAAAAGATCCATAAGCGTATGTAATTCATGCATATACATGCAAATTAGCAGAGATCCGTTTTGAGTAGAGCAAAAAGAGTGTCTGGTCATTTAAATGCAAATTTATGAACGTTGAAATATACCTCTTCAATAACTGCAGTACGGAAGGATGCACCACGAGTAGACATTTCGTTCAAATTATAAGAGGTTGAAGAGATCGAACAACTGTTTCCTCGAAGATTATGTCGGGTTTTGGCCAATAAAAGTCTTCCTTCACCTTTCATTTAAGCATAAACAGTAATTCCACAACTTACTCAAACAATCATCCAAATGGTGATTTAGTTCAATAATAGTTGACAAATTTTCCAGATGATTTAATACAAGTGTGTCTAACTCATCATCAGTTGGTATCGAGACCATTGATTTTAAAAATACTGGAAAGAATAAAGGTATTTTATCGGTAGATATAGTAGCTTTCTGTATATGCCTAATAAAAATTAACTTGGATCGGATCGTTGGCAGTAGCAGCACACGAAAAAGACGGACCTGAAAAAGAAGGATTCATAACAATAGTATAGATAATATTACAAAACATGGGAAGGGTCTATTAGTAGTGTAGGGTATTAGTATTCCACAGGTCCTAACACAATAGGAGGATATGTTTTTTTAAATGTTTAAAAACGAAAATTGATCAATAGTGGTTTTATTGACTTGAGAGCGTGAATGCAAGACCGGATAGACAGTTGTCTGCAGTCGGCCAGACTTTTTTGAATAATATTTTGTTTTAGCTACATATATATTTCAGTCGACTACTAATAACTGAAGTTAAGACCAGCTGTCCCATTTTACGGATGGTCTTTCCCAAACCTTCGTTCAGTTGTCCGATATTGATGACAAGGTTGAGACTCCGCAGTAAAACCTATCTTTATTTTAGTTTCATTGTTGCATGACCTGTAGGTATAAACAGATTGATATCTGATGTTTCTCGGTGATAAATAGTCTACGATTTAGAAAAAAGATGCACCATATCCCCCCCCATTAGTAGAGTGGAAGGAAATTATGAATATTAGATGACAATCTTCATACGAGTAATGCAAACGGAAGTTTTGAATGAAACATAGAGAAGTTACAATTCAAAAAGAAAGAAACAGACTAGAGAACCAAAAATACTAAATTGCAATAAGCTTAAAACATAAAAGACATATGGGACAAACGTACTAGCCAAATCGATTTTGGGTCACTTTACTCAGTTTTCAAATAATTACTACGAACAGACAGATATCATCAATATAGGGCATGGACAGATGTACGTTGGACCTAGTTACTATACAGTAGCAGGAAAAAAATGAAAGTAACAAAAGATATTGAAATAATAAAAAGGAAGACTAAAACTTCAGAAAACTATTTTTTGAGTGAAAGCTGTTATTGTGATGCATAAACACCAGTAGAATGGTGCACCTAAATATTTATGCGCCACAAAATTATTGAGTTTGTGAGTGGACTGAGACACTGTATGGATCCCCAGTGTAACAGGTGGTCATCTTGAGAGGCCCTTTCTGAGCCTTTGACATAAAATTATAACCCACAAGGTAATGGAGCAACGTCAGGAGATACAGTCCCGTGGTAACCGGCGACTCACAGAAGAATCGTACGCTATTTGTTCACTTATAATTGTGGAGCCCGTGTGCAACACTGATTCTGAACCAGCGTTTTCCAACCTCTTGGTGGATCTTCCACAGTCATCAACCTAGTTGAAGCGCCGGAAATTAGTGGAATCTCCCCACTCTCCACCGTACGTATGTCTGAATGGACACTGGAATTAAAGATCTAGAGGATAAGGAGTAAATGGGTCTGCAACATAGTGAACTATTTTGAGCGAATGTTTTCAACTGCTGATAGCATTCATCACGTAGACTCCAACCAAGTATTTGTATCTGCCAATATGGCTCAGTCCAACAGTCAATGACTGCACGAACAGATTTCCCATTTTGGTTTGTCATTTCCTAATTTTCTTACTACCTACATCTGCATTAGCAATTGTTTTTCGCCAATGTAGACCAAAGTTAAACAAGTGTAGCGTGTCTTAACTGCACAAATCAATAAATATACACTACCTTACCTTTCATTTCGCAACTACCTTAAGCCTAACCTCAAAACTACTTACTCGGTCATTCCACAAAATGTGACCAGTGCTCCGAGGACGTATAAGGTCCAAAGCCTTCAGACTACGCGAGTTTTATTTTCACAGCAGTAAACTGGTGCACAGTGGATTGCTACTTATTACAAACCCCAGTTTGGTTAGCACACGTGAATTTCGCCTACACGCCAGTGACGCAAGCTGACAAATGTTGACCAGATTTTCTGATTACATGCAAAGATCTCACCAGACGGAAAAACAGCAGGGCTGATAAGACTTCCAAGATAAGTTATCAGTTCGCCAAACTGCTTCACTTGCCATTATTAGATCAGTCCTGAAGCAAAACTTTGCATTTAGAAGAGGAGAAACTCATTACAGATAAGCTACGATCATCAAAAGACTGTATTTTGTCAGCGCCTCTTCCAAGAACGACTACATTATCTGCGTATTCTAAACCGATAAGCGGATTTTCTGGTAAGTGGTCGACCTCCAAAAGAGTCAGTTGAGGAAAATATTACTTTTATGAGTACACTGATGATAAAGTCAAATCGGGATGAGAATAGTAGGCAGAACTGGCAAACACTACATGAGACTGACAGTCCGTCATAAACTTTGACTCAATCAACAGTGGTTGATTAGAGAGTTTTCACAATGTTTATGTACTTTCTATGTACACCTTTCGATGGAAAACAACACAGAACCCCATGGTCAATAAGTACCGTCACATTTAGCTGCTATCTATCGTTTTAGATTACCTATAGTTTTTTCAACCCTATTATGAAATGATAAACTTGTGCCAGTTTGTTATTTAGGATGGTCATATATAATGGATAACTGATGGATAGCTGAAGGCCAGTTAAAGCGTTCCCTAAAGTGTTCTGTACATTCACGTAGTCTCCCAGACAGAGAGAGTACTAGTTTCTCGAGATAGTCCCAGTAGCACATGATATTTTAACACCTGTTTCCTGGATTAATTGTCTAGCGTTACTAATCATTGCCGAATTTTTTTTATCTCTTTTGCTTTTGTTACCCACTACTGCTTACGATCATTATGTAGACTTTTTATTATCTTAAGTCTGGGTTATCGTTGTTCTTTACCCTTCTTTAAGCCTGTAGAAACTAGTTCCCGATACTTTATCAATTCACTGCATATCACAGAAATCTGTTGATTTTCACTAACTTTTGAAGTTATCGATAGAGGTGATTGTTTTAACTACAGCTGCTTGGATATCTTTTCAAGTCTCTTTAGGATGAACTGCTTTTGTATGATTAACTGGGTACTTGAAAACATTCTTGTCCTTTTCGTTTTCGAAATGATATCTGGGGATTCTTCTGGTTGTAACTTTTTTAAGTCCAGTAAAGCTCATAGGAATGGGTGCTCTCACATGAACATAACTGAATTCCAAGAATCTAATTTAGTAGCATAAGTCTTCTATTGGTCTTCGCCAGTGGTGACTAGATTTTATGAATGATGGCTTTATGAATTAATACCTAAAGAGAATATATTACTTCATAATATCCTGCTGTTGTAGGTGTGGAAACATTTAGCTAATAGTACTCTGTAACTAAATGTGTGGAGATTATATTTCATTAGTTTATACTAATAGGAAACTAATTACTATCCACAAAACCAGGATGTATTGGTAAAGCTCTCGGGGAATTTGCTAGAAATCGGTTAGATAAGAACAGTTAAAAATAATTTCGTTTAGCAAACATCAAAATTTAGCGTAGTGCCCTGGAGTATACTTATCCGTTAAGTGTTTTCCAATCCTCTTCTGAGACAAAACAGTACTGTTGTTGAAGGTTTTGGTCGATTGGGAATGAACTTTGACTATCAGAGAAGATCCCTCGAAATACATATGTTGTAAGTAACTACAACGGAGATAGTTATCCTTCAAAAGTCTATATGATAATAACCTAGAACTAATGCCTATCTCAACTATATTGCATGTTCTAAACTATGAGTAAATATCAACGGGAGCAAGTGGATTTAATCTCAAGTGCCTTCTTTTTAAGGATACAGGAAAGTGGAAAGCAGTAAGCAGTATGGATAATCAACACCAAAGAAAAGGATAATAGAGATACCTTTAAGCGATGGTGGTCGAAAAACGTTGAAATGAAAGGTTTTTAGGAAGCCAATGAATTGTTTTTTAACCTAGTACAAAGTGCAAATGATTAAGAGAATAGGAAAATAAAGTCTCAGTCAACTGGTGGACTGTTAACAATTAACATTAAATTAATTGTCAAGTACGCATGACCGGGTCAATCAAATGTTTCGAAAACTAAGATTTCGTGTCTTATTATTAGGAGTAATACATTCCTTGGGAGTAGTGAGAAAATTTGCATCACAAGAGTAGTAAATCCTGAAATTACTATATTAAGGCACAAAGTAATCAAATGAAAGATAATGCTATGGGTTGTTATGCACCTAGTCATCTTGGGTGATGCCATTGCTCTTCGGTCAACAAATTGTTGCGTTTATCCTTATTATCAACCGATATTTTGCTGACAAATCTATTTATCTTCCTTAAACTAGGTATTATGCGACAGACCACAGGAAAAAATCGAACTGACTAGCAACTAGTAGTACACTACTGTGTATTCCAAGTATTTATGTATGTATACTCAAAACGGATAGCATAGATTAAAAAAATTTTTCAACCACCACCAACCATTTATTATACATATTCTTTAAAAAAGCATAAATACTAGTCATATCAACTTTAATGTTGAATTAACTGGACGTGTAGTAGGCTAGATATGAAAATTCATGGTACTTGTGAGAATATTACACTTAACCATCGTAGGACTTGCTGTGTTGAACCGCGTATCACCACCATCGTCAAACCCTGGGAACGATTTCATAATTTTAATTTGATTTATTTTGATCCTTAATATTAGTATTGTCAGTACCCAACTCTAGCTCCAGAACCAAGGTTCTGTGTTCGTTCACATTCTACATTATACTTTAGTAGCCCATCGTCTTACGTTATAAACCTGCGCAATCATCTCTCACCAAAAACTCTTATTTAAATTTTACGCTAAAAGATAAATCACTAATAATTCGTAATCAACGGTCAGCAAAAAATAGATGCGGCTCTAGACACTGAGGAGATGGGGAGAAGAGTGGTGAAAATACGATCTCAAGTGGGAAATTCCGGGGTGAAATAGTCTCACTGCCTTATCTTCCTTTCCGATTCATCAAAATTCACCTTCCTAATTTATTATTCTTCTACATAGCTCGTCAGCTGGGTTTTCCATACAACCGCGGTCGTATAACAAA